GAACCGAGTATGAGGAGGTGCATTTAGTGACTACAAATGTTTCGGCAGAAACGATACCCGATTCCGCAAAAAGGGAGGGCATCCATGCGGCGTTTCGCCGCTGGATGGTGACAAATCATCGAAAGGACTTCGAGACTTCAGAAACAACATAATATCGAGGGTTTGGGGTTAAGAAAGTTCACGCACACGCCGAGCGTGACGGATTTCGTGTAGGTCGCCAGAGTCGACTTCTTGCAGACGAGGGGCTTAACAACGGGGGCAGCCGCGTGTTTTCGTGCGAATGCGCAGCTGGCTGATGCGAAGAGTAGAACCGCGAGCGACGCTGCTACGAAGGAGAACCGCGACGAGGCCATGATGGTAGCGCGATGAGATGGATAAGATAGACGAGGGCGGGGTGTGGTGTAGGTGAGAGCGGCGAGTGAGAGGTCGACTCGGGGTGGAATGAGAAATTGTGAAAATTGATCTGCCTACATATATCTCGGTTGCGTCCTCTTGCCCCAAGCGTGATAAGCAACACCCAGCCGTTGGCTCGGCGGGGCTTGTTCCTTTGGTCCTGGTTGGTTCGTCTTGTCGGGCCTGGTTTGGTGAGGTTGGTGAGGAGGGAGGATGCAGCGAGAGAATTGCTCTAGTAATGTGCCAGTTAAAGCTTTCGTATACATTTGCAAGTACTGTTTGGACTTGCACTGTAGCCAGGGAAAAATTCGCCAGAACGAAACAACTGAGCGTGGCGAGAGGTTTGGCGAAAAATTGCAGCTTTGAGGAGTTCCAAACACAGGAAACTCCCCCGTCACCCAACCTTGGAGTCAGATTTCACTAGGAACCATGATATGTGACTAACATACGCTAAGCATAGATAGAGGAACCGGGGCGCGACAAAGAACATGCGGAGCATCGACACCGCTCAGATATTCTCATGTGAGATGAGTTTAGGTAACATTATAGGCTTGTGCGAGTGGGAAAATACATCTAGCTTGCACGCCAGCTCCTTTCCACTGCTGCGCCGTTCAGCGGCAATCGGAGAGGGAAAGGCTCTGCATTCGTCGAGCGCGTCGTGCTGCATTGATGGGCCCCGTCGAAGCCCTGTCAAGGGCGCCTCGACGGGTTGCATCACCACGCTGGGTAGGTGCGATCGAGTAAGCCGATTGAAAATTACGGAGCCGACGGCGGGATCGCATCGTTCCATGCGTTGGCCACGCCGCCACTCTCAACACCCGCTCGGTAGGCATTTCCCGCTTAGCGCCTCACCCACTGCGCGGGTCTCCCGCTTACCGCCTCCAATGCTGGGAGCTCTCCCGCTTAGCGCCTCACCCTCTGCGCGCCATGCCGCTTAGCGTATCACTCGCCGCGCGCCTTTCCCGCTTAGCGCCTGACCCGCTGCGCGCCTCTCCCGCTTAGCTCCGCAACCGCTGCGCGCCTCTCCCGCGCAACGAATCACTCGCTGCGCGCCTCTCTCATTTCGCGCCTCACCCCCTGTGCGCCTTTCCCGCGTGTCGCCTCACCCTCTCCCGCTTAGCGCCGCACCCGCTGCGCGCCTTTCCCGCTTAGCGCCCGCATAGCGCCTCTCCCGCTAAGCGCATCCTCTTCTAATTACCCCCCCTCCCCCCTTCTCCCCCTCACAACCCCCCCTACTCCCTCTCCACTTGCCTCCCTTCTCCCCCTCATTTCCCCCCCTTCTCCCCCTATTTTTCCCCCCTTCTCTCCCTCATTTTCCCCCCTTCTCTCCCTCATTTTCCCCCCTTCTCCCTCTCAGTTCTAACCCTTCTCCCCCTCATTCCCCCCATTCTTCCCCTCATTTCCCAGCCTTCTCCTCCTCATTCCCCCCATTCTTCCCCCTCATTCCCCCCCTTTTCTCCCTCAACCCCCCCCCCCTTCTCGCCCTCATTTCCCCCCCTTCTCCCTCTCACTTCCCCCACTGCTCCCCCTCATTTCCCCTCCTGCTCCTTCTCACTTCCCCCACTGCTCCCCCTCATTTCCCCTCCTGCTCCTTCTCACTTCCCCCACTGCTCCCCTTCATTTCCCCCCCTTCTCCCTCTCACTTCCCCCACTGCTCCCCCTCATTTCCCCTCCTGCTCCTTCTCACTTCCCCCACTGCTCCCCCTCATTTCCCCTCCTGCTCCTTCTCACTTCCCCCACTGCTCCCCTTCATTTCCCCTCCTTCTCCTTCTCACTTCCCCCACTGCTCCCCCTCATTTCCCCTCCTGCTCCTTCTCACTTCCCCCACTGCTCCCCTTCATTTCCCCTCCTGCTCCTTCTCACTTCCCCCACTGCTCCCCCTCATTTCCCCTCCTGCTCCTTCTCACTTCCCCCACTGCTCCCCCTCATTTCCCCTCCTGCTCCTTCTCACTTCCCCCACTGCTCCCCTTCATTTCCCCTCCTTCTCCTTCTCACTTCCCCCACTGCTCCCCCTCATTTCCCCTCCTGCTCCTTCTCACTTCCCCCACTGCTCCCCTTCATTTCCCCTCCTGCTCCTTCTCACTTCCCCCACTGCTCCCCTTCATTTCCCCTCCTGCTCCTTCTCACTTCCCCCACTGCTCCCCCTCATTTCCCCTCCTGCTCCTTCTCACTTCCCCCACTGCTCCCCCTCATTTCCCCTCCTGCTCCTTCTCACTTCCCCCACTGCTCCCCTTCATTTCCCCTCCTTCTCCTTCTCACTTCCCCCACTGCTCCCCCTCATTTCCCCTCCTGCTCCTTCTCACTTCCCCCACTGCTCCCCTTCATTTCCCCTCCTGCTCCTTCTCACTTCCCCCACTGCTCCCCTTCATTTCCCCTCCTGCTCCTTCTCACTTCCCCCACTGCTCCCCCTCATTTCCCCTCCTGCTCCTTCTCACTTCCCCCACTGCTCCCCTTCATTTCCCCTCCTGCTCCTTCTCACTTCCCCCACTGCTCCCCTTCATTTCCCCTCCTGCTCCTTCTCACTTCCCCCACTGCTCCCCTTCATTTCCCCTCCTGCTCCTTCTCACTTCCCCCACTGCTCCCCCTCATTTCCCCTCCTGCTCCTTCTCACTTCCCCCACTGCTCCCCTTCATTTCCCCTCCTCCTCCCTCTCATTTCCCCCCTTACTCCTCTCATCTCCCCCCCTCCTCCCTCTCATTTCCCCCCTTGCTCCTCTCATCTCTCCCCCTCCTCCCTCTCATTTCCCCCCTTGCTCCTCTCATCTCTCCCCCTCCTCCCTCTCATTTCCCCCCTTGCTCCTCTCATCTCTCCCCCTCCTCCCTCTCATTTCCCCCCTTGCTCCTCTCATCTCTCCCCCTCTCCCTCTCATTTCCCCCCTTGCTCCTCTCATCTCTCCCCCTCCTCCCTCTCATTTCCCCCCTTGCCGCCTCTCATCTCTCCCCCTCCTCCCTCTCATTTCCCCCCTTGCTCCTCTCATCTCTCCCCCTCCTCCCTCTCATTTCCCCCCTTGCTCCTCTCATCTCTCCCCCTCCTCCCTCTCATTTCCCCCCTTTGCTCCTCTCATCTCTCCCCCTCCTCCCTCTCATTTCCCCCCTTGCCGCCTCTCACTTCCACCCTTGCTCACTCTCGCTTCCCCGCTTCCCTCTCATTTCCCTCCTTCACCCCTTCATTTCCCAACCTAAACCCTTATTTTCCCCACCTTGCTCCCCGTCATTTCCCCCCCTTCTCCCCTTATTTTTCCCACCTTGCTCCCCTTCATTTCCCTCCCAGCTCTGGCATAGCCCCACTGCCCTCCCGTCCTTTTCATCTTCCCTCCCTTACAGGGTGGATCCCTTGCAAAATACTGCCCCCCACTCGCTCCCTTCCATTCTCCCTTCCACGCTCTCCCATCGCCATGCCTTAATTTCTCATCCCCCCTCCTTCCAGGGTCATCTCACCTCCCATGAGATCCCACTCGCTCCTTCAGTCCCTGCCCATACTGCCGCCGCTGCTGCCTTTGCCGGAGCTGCCTCTGCTGCCACACCCAGTGTTCCTTCCTTTGGTGTTCCCCCCGGAGCAGGAGGTAGCTCAGGAAAGGAGGGGAAGGCATGGTGGAGGAGGAGGAGACATGAGGCGAGGAGCAGCCAGTGGGGAGGATTGTTCGCCCCACTCCTTTGACTATGGACTGCCGACGCCGGCTGTTGGCCCCAACCCGTGTGACTCTGCAACTGCCCCGGTTCTGTCCATACTTCTGCTCCTGCGGATTGAGCTCCTACTGGACCTAGCATTTGTGGAGCAAATGTAGCAGCAGCTCCCACGAGGAGTTGGAGCTGGGATGATCTTGCAAGAACAGCGGCAGGTGCATGGGCAGCAACAGCAGAACCAAGAGCGAGTGGACCCTGCTGCGGTCTCACAGCCGAGCGCGCTCATGAGTGCGCAAGCCGCAGGAGATGCAGCATGCCGGGTCTCTCACGATGGGTGCACACTATCGAAGCAGCCATGTCAGCAGTGGACTGGGGAGCGAGCAGGGTGTGAGGCTCGATGAGGAAGCGAGGCGGAGGGAGAGGGAGAAGGAGGAGGTAGCGAGGCTGTTGCGGCAGATGGTGCGTGCAAGCGAGCTCGACTCATCTCAAGTTTTGTCCCATCGTTCACGCCTCTCAGGTACTGTGCGCGTCCCATCGCATGCCTTGGGACTTGCCTAGACAACCGTTTTCACGCCACTTGGATGACTAAGGGCACTCTCTCCAGGCTTTGGTTGAGCTCACCCTGATATGTGCCTTCTTTTTCCCCTTCCTCGTCCCTTTCTCAGCCCTGACCCCCCCCACTCCTCTCACCGGCAGGTCCACCAAGCAGCACACAATGCATCGCTCCCCTCTGCTGCACACCAACGCCAGGCATACAACAGCAGCCGCCAACTTGTGCGGCAGCTCCCTGCGTATTTATTACTATGCACTTGTGATTCAAGAAGCATGCATACACTCCCAACTCTAGTACATTTTTGGCACTTCAGGACCAAAATCAAGCTCGTAGCCTCACAACATGTTTTATAAAAAAAGTCCTTACAATTGTATCACTATATACATAACCTTTATCACCCAACCCTGGATTCTTCGATACCAATCACGTGACTAGTCATATGCCTGTGCACGAATGCAGGGAATGGAAGGGAATGGCAGGGAATGGAAGTGTATGGAAGGGAATGGAAGTGTATGGAAGGGAATGGAAGGGTATGGAAGGGTATGGCTGGGGTATGGAAGGGAATGGTAGGTATGGAAGGGTATGGAAGGGAATGGAAGGGTATGGAAGGGAATGGAAGGGTATGGAAGGGAATGGAAGGGTATGGAAGGGAATGGAAGGTATGGAAGGGTATGGAAGGGAATGGAAGGGTATGACAGGGGATGGATGGGTATGGCTGGGGTATGGAAGGGAATGGTACACTTACGCTAGGGAAGGAAAGGTATGGCAGAGTATGGCAAGGTATGGCAGAATGAGGGACGGGCTTGGCTGGCGTATGGAAGGGTATGGGAGGAGATGGAAGGGTGTGGCGGTGTATGGCAGCGGATGGATGAGTATGGCATGCGATCATCCAAGGGTACGGTAGGGGTTAGAAGCATATGAGAGGGAGAAGGGGGGAAAATGAAAGGAGATGGGGGGAAATGAGCGGGGGGGAAATGAGCGGGGGGGAAACGAGATGGAGAAGGGGGGGGGAATGAGAAGGAGCACGTGGGGAAAGGAGAGGGAGATGGGGGGAAACGAGAGGGGGAAGGGGGGGGGAATGCGGGGAAATGAGAGGGAGGTTATGTGGCATTTAACTGAGTGGTTAAGGGGGGAATGAGAAGGAGCAGGGGGGAGAATGAGAGGGATAAGGGGGGGAAATGAGAGGAAGAAGGGGGGTACATGAGCGAGAGAAGGGGGGACATAACAGTGAGCAGGGGGGAGGATGAGAGGGAGAAAGGGGGGGAATGAGGGGCTTCATGGGGGGAATGAGAGGGAGTAGGGGGAGATATAAGAGGGGGAAGGGGAAGAAATGAGAGGGAGAATGGGGGGGAATGAGCGGGAGAAGGGGGTGACATGAGAGAGAGAAGGTGGGGACATGACAGGGAGCAGGGGGGGAGATGAGAGGGAGAAAGGGGGGGATGAGGGGCTTCATGGGGGGAATGAGAGGGAGAAGGGGGGAGGAATGAGGGAGAGCATGGGGGGGAAATGAGAGTGAGCAAGGGGGAAAATGAGAGTCTGCAAGGGGGGAAATGAGAGTGCGGCTGCCGCGGCTAGTGCGGAAACGTGGTAGCGAGGCTGTGCGATCGGGCGGCGACTGTGATGTGTGTTCGGCAGTTTGAGAAGGGAGGCGAGAAGGGATAATCGGGAGTGGGAAGGGGAAGCGGGGAGGCGGGAAGGGGAATTGGGGAGGCGGGAAGGGGAAATGGGGAGTGGGAAGGGGTAATGGGGAAGCGGGAAGGGGTCACGGGGAGGAGGGAAGGGGTAGTGGGGAGCGGGAAGGGGAATTGGGGAGGCGAGAAGGGGTAATGGGGAGCGGGAAGGGGAATTGGGGAGGCGGGAAGGGGTAATGGGGAGCGGGAAGGGGAATTGGGGAGGCGGGAAAGGGTAATGGGGAGCGGGAAGGGGAAACGAGGAGGCGGGAAGGGATAATGGGGAGCGAGAAGAGGAAATGGGGTGGCGGGAAGGGGAATTGCAGAGGCAGGAAGGGGTAATGGGGAGCGGGAAGGGGAAACGAGGAGGCGCGAAGGGGTAGTGGGGAGCGGGAAGAGGAAATGGGGTGTCGGGAAGGGGAATTGGGGAGGCGGGAAGGGGAAACGGGGAGGCGGGAAGAGGTAATGGGGAGCAATCGTTTCTGATTACCCTCGCGACACCTCAATTGCGGCTGCCGCCGCTACTGCGGAAACGTGGTAGCGAGGTCGCGCGATCGGGAAGCGACTGTGATCGTGCGTGTTCGGCAGTTTGAGACGCAGCGTGCGCGTTCATGGTGGCGTGAGGAGGCCGCGTGGTGAGGCAACGCGACGGACGACGAGGCGAGGCTGTGAGAAGGGGTCCGGCGGGCTCGCCGTGTTAGAGGGCGGAACTGACGTTGGCTCGGACGTGTAATTACACTAAACTGCCCCACGCGTCTAAGTTTGTGTCGGAAACGGGAGTGATTTGCGCTGGCTGTTGTCGCGATGTGCTTTGCTACGATTTATGCTGCCTGTTGAGCGTAGTGGCGTAGATCTCACATGGACTGGATTTCGTATACTTTTGTTATTCCAAAAGTTTTGAATCACCAGTGAGCCCTGGGTGACGGGGAGATCACCTCCCTTGTGAAGCGAGTGAAACTAGCTGTTTCTGGGTTACCAATATTTCAAATTTCAAAACTTTTGAACCTCCCTTTTTCAAATGTATACGAAAGCTTAAAAAAAAAGGCTGCGGGAATCCTCTGGCGAGCAATTATCGTGCAATTGTAGGACCACGCGAGCAAATTGAAGCCACGTGTGCAACGCCGAATCTCCAAACCCGTGCCTGGGGCAAATCTCTCGGATGCAGCGGACCTGACTCTTCCCTGGCGCCTTCATTCTGTATCTCCCTTGCCTCTCCTTCCAAACCTAACCAAGAGCGAACCTGCATGGCAAGCGAGCGAGGCCTGAAGATCAAGAACGAACCTAGCGATGCCTTCACTTCTTTGGCTCGTCACGTTCAGTCGAAGCTGGTGTGGTGTGGCTGGAGGTTGTTGAATTTCCAAATTCGTTCTGTGGTCATGATGGGCTGCGCACACAGCCTCAGGAACGACAACGCTCCGAAGCAAAGGCTCGGTGCGGTGCGTGTTTTGCAGGCTACAGTCAACAAAGGCTTAGCGCGTGAGTGGCTTACGGCGAGTCGAGTTTTGTAACCGACCAGCCGTCGTGTACGCTTTTCACTGGTCACCGACATGGCTGACTGAGCCTTGGTGGCAAATTCCACGATTTTCAACGTGAGGTCCGTTGGCGGAGGTGATTCTTGGATGACGTCAAGAACTGATTGTGTGGTTATCGTATCCAGTCGAGGGGCACTGACATGGTCTCCTCGCGCAAAATCGTGATCGGTTGTGTGAGGGCTTATCGGGGAAGCAGTTCACCACACCACCACCACATGCCCACTGTACCACTGCCGCCATCACCACACAACCACCAGTCTTGGTCCAGGCAAGGACCCACTAGCTACCCAATGAATGATCACGTACTTCTCAATACACCAAACATTCTCGTGGATTAAATTTGGTCATTCTTATGAGTGCAATTGAGCTAGCTAGCTAGAATTGCACTAAGCAAAACAGTTCATTGGGCGAAGGCATGAGCAAAGAATATATAGCGAAGCTAGAGTGGTAAGGGTAATGTGAAAATGGGGTGCGCTACGGGCCTAGCGCCGAGGTTGGGAATTGTCGAGGCGGAGGTCCGGAGCACGGGTTACCAGCCAAACCGTGAGTTTGGGTCGCGTCGTGAACAGTGGTGGGAACAGTGGTCGAGACGAGTGTCGCGAGTGGTAACGGTGCACTGTTGGGAGTTGTTGGCGGGTGTCAAACATATGTGTCTATTTGATATAGTTTGGTTAGGCTTAGTGGGGTACTCACTGTGGGGTACAACCCCTTAGGTTTCTCCTTTGTATCTTCTCCTCTCGATAGTCGACACACAACTTTCCCGTAAGATTATGATATGGTATAGAGCATAGGTCCTTAGGACCTACGATTAGGGCCCACCACGATTGCCTGTCTTACCTAGTGCCTACGCGCGCCTCGGCTGCCCGCGCGCGCCTCGGGCGGTCCTTTTTTTTTCCCACGTGCGCCGTCTCAGCAGCCCGCGTAGCCCGTTTCGGCCCCGCCTGTGCGCCCCTTAAGCCGCCCGTGCGAAACCTGATTAGGCCACGCCAGCGCGGCCTGTCGCCCAGCGTAGCCCGTAGCGTAACGACCAGCCCGCAGCCGCGCACGTGCGGCCCGTCGCCCAGCGCAGCCCTACATTCCCTGCATAGTAACCTTAGCCCTCCCTCCCTCGCCTGCGCCACCCTGCATTCCCTGCGTCGAGGGGCGGCAGCGCGCTGCTCCTCACTCCTCCTCGTTCCCTCCCACTGAGGCTCCACTGCAGACTCTCCACCTGGACGTGTGGGGCCCAGCCCGCGTCCGTGGACAGGGCCACGAGCGGTACTTCCTGCTGGTTGTCGACGACTACACGCGCTACACCACGGACTTCCCCTTGCAGCGCAAGGGGGATGTCCCTGATGTTTTGATCCCCTGGATCCGCGCTACTCGTCTCCAGCTCCGCGAGCGGTTCCAGTCGGACTTTCCTGTCCTGCGTCTGCACTCTGACAGAGGTGGTGAGTTCTCCTCAGACCTCTTGGCAGCCTTCTGTGCGGAGCACGGCATCCGCCAGACTTTCACGCTTCCGGCCTCTCCTCAGCAGAATGGGGTTGCTGAGCGCCGCATTGGCTTAGTCATGGAGGTCGCTCGTACCTCTATGATCCATGCGGCTGCCCCCCATTTTTTGTGGCCGTTTGCGGTCCGGTACGCCGCGCATTAGCTCAACCTTTGGCCCCGTGTCTCCTTGCCGGAGACCTCGCCCACACTGCTGTGGACGGGGAAGGTTGGCGACGCGTCGCGTTTCCGGGTCTGGGGTGCTCGTGCCTTTGTCAGCGATACCACCGCGGACAAGCTCTCCCCTCGCGCCATTCCTTGCGTCTTCCTTGGCTTTGTCCCTGACGCGCCTGACTGGCAGTTTTACGACCCCGCCTCGCGCCGTGTCTTTGCGTCTCAGGACGTCACCTTTGACAAGTCCGTCCCCTTTTATCGCCTCTTCCCCTACCGCACTGCTCCTCGCCCCCCCCCCCGCCGCTCTTTCTCGCCCCAGGTCCTCCCCAGGTAGACCCCCTCCCCGCGCCAGGTCCTGCTCCTTCAGGTGTCTCTCAGGTAGACCCCCCCGCGCCTGCGCCTGTTGAGGACACTGGTGACTCCGGTCCTGCTGCGAGTGGTGCTGTCCCTGGGGGTGCGGAGCTTGGGGGTGCTGAGTCTGGGGGCGCTGAGCGTGAGGAGCCTGGGGGTGCTGCGTCTGGAGGTGCTGCGTCTAAGGGTGCTGAGCCTGCGTGTGCGGAGCCTGGGGGTGCTGAGTCTGGGGGTGAGTCGCCTGAGGGTTCTGCGACTGCTTTTCCGCGGTCTCCTTGGAGTAGCCGTCTTCGTCCGCGTGTGCCCCTCACCTCCCAGCAGCTGTACGACTGGTACGGTCGCCGTCAGCGTCGCGCTTCTGCACCTCAGGGCTCTACTACTGGGGGTTCTTCTGCTGGTGTCGCTGGTCCCGGAGGTGCTCGTACTGAGGGTACTGGAGCTGCTGGGGCTGGCGGTGTTGTGACAGAGGGTACTGGCGCTGCAGAGGGTGCTGGAGCTGCTGGAGGTACTGGAGCTGCTGGAGGTGCTGGCGGTGCTGGAGCTGCTGAGGGTACTGGAGCTACTAGCGGTGCTGGAGCTACTGAGGGTACTGGAGCTGCTGGAGGTGCTGGACCTGCTGAGGGTCCTGGAGCTACGGGCGGTGCTGGAACTGCTGGAGGTGCTGGAGCTGCTGGAGGTGCTGGAGCTGCTGGTGCTGGCGGCACTGCTCAGCAGCGCCTGTTCTTCGCTCCGCCGTCTCCGTCGTCTCAGCCACCACCTGACTCTGCACTTCGCCAGGTTCTCAGTCTTCCCTCGTCTACTGGTCTTCCGTTACATCCTGGCTCACCGCTGCCTGCTCCTTCTCCGTACACAGAGCAGACTAGGGGCCTTGCTGAGCGTCGTGAGCCTGCGTCGCATCCTGTCTCACCTGTCCGTTCTGGTCGTTCCGGTCGTCGTGTTCCTCGTCAGCGGCAGCCGGCTGTCTCCGGCTCTCACCTTGTAGTTTGTCGTCCTTCCTCTCCTCCGCTGCGTGTTCCTCTGCCGTCTCCCCCTGCGTCCTCTCTACTTGTCGTTGCTGACCCTGCGTCTGACCAGTTTCGTGCTGAGCACTCTACTGTCACGCGTCTGCTTGCCACTGTTGTCACTGACCCGTCGCTTGAGTCTGCTGCTGCGTCTGCCTTAGTCGCTGAGCTTGTTGACTTTGCTGCTGCCTGTCGTCTCGACTACGCCGCCAGTCTTGTTGCTGAGTCTGAGTCTGTCTGTCCTCCGTCCGTCGGGGGTGAGTGTGCTCTTGGCACGGACGTCCTTGAGGACAGACAGGAGGACCTTGAGTGTCTTGCAGACGCTGCGCCTCATCTCGTATCCATGCTGCTTGCCCCTGAGGGAGACCCGGATGCACCAGACATCCCTACCCCGCGCTCTTACGCTGAGGCGATCGCGGGTGAGTACTCCTCTCAGTGGCAGACAGCCATGGACGCAGAGATGGCATCCTGGAAGTCCACAGGCACCTACGTCGACGAGGTTCCCCCTCCTGGGGCGAACATTGTCAGTGGCATGTGGATTTTCAGGGTGAAGCGGCCGCCAGGTTCTCCGCCTGTCTTCAAGGCTCGGTACGTGGCTCGAGGCTTCAGTCAGCGAGAGGGAGTTGACTTCTTCCAGACCTTCTCCCCCACCCCGAAGATGACCACTCTTCGGGTGCTGCTGCACGTTGCCGCTCAGCGTGACTACGAGCTTCACTCTCTTGACTTCAGCACAGCCTTCTTACAGGGCAGCCTGCACGAGGAGATTTGGCTGCGCCGCCCTCCTGGCTTCACTGGGTCGTTCCCTCCTGGTACCCAGTGGAGCCTCCGGCGGCCGGTCTACGGTCCCCGCCAGGCGCCACGTGAGTGGCACGACACACTGAGGACGACACTTGCGGCTCTTGGGTTTGCTCCGTCGACTGCTGACCCGTCGCTGTTTCTGCGCACCGACACTTCTCTGCCGCCGTTCTACGTTCTCGTGTACGTCGACGACTTAGTCTTTGCCACTGCTGACACTGAGGCTCTCGCCCTGGTGAAGTCGGAGCTGCAGAAGAGACACACGTGCACAGACCTGGGTGAACTGCGCAGCT